GTGGTGCGGCCCGTGTCGGCGCTGATCGTGGTCGACGTCCAGAACGACTTCATCTCCGGCTCGCTCGCCCTCATCAACTGCCCCGCCGGACACCATGGAGAGGAGGTAAGCGGGGGAGGGGGGAGAGGGAGGGGAGAGGGAGAAGGGAAAAGGGAGGAGGGAGGAGAAGAGGATGGGGGGAGAGAGGGAGAAGGGAGGAGAAGAGGATAGGGGGAGAGAGGGAGGGGAGAGGGAGAATGGAGAACAAGAGGATGGGGGGGGGGAGGCAGAGGGTGAGGGATGGAGAGGGTGTGAGAGAGAGAGGAGAAGAAGAGGATGAGGGAGAGAGGGAGGGGGGTGAAGAGAAGGAGGAGCAGGAGAGGATGGGGAAGAGAGGAGGAGAGTGAGGGATGGAGAGGAGGGAGAAGAAGGAGAGGGATGGAGAAAAGGAGGATAGGGGGAGAGGGGAAGAGAGGGAGGAGAAGGAGAGAATGGGGGAGATAAAGGGATAGGCTGAGAGATGGAGAGGGAAACGGATGGACAAGGGAGAGAGGGAGGAGAAGGAGAGGGATGGAGAAGAAGAGGAAGGGGGGAGGGATGGAATGGGAGAGGTAGGCTAACAGAAAAAGGGAGGGAGGATATAAGAGAGAGAGAGAGGGATGGAGAAGGAGAGTAGGAAAGAGGGTGAGGGAGAAGCTGAGAGAGGGTGGTTAGGAGGGGACGGGGAGAGATGGAGAGTTAGAGGAAAAGGGAGAGGGAGAGGTGAGAAGGGGATGAGGGAAAGGGAGAGACTGAGTGAGAGAGATAATAAGAGATGGAGAAAGAGAGGGAGAGTGGAGGAAGAGGAACAGAGATTGACTGATCGAGGGACGGTAGGGGATGGAGAGAAAGGGAGAGATAGGAGGAGAGGGAGAGGCTGATAGAAAGAAAAAGGGTAGGAAGGGAGAGAGAAAGAAGGGAAAGAGAGGAGGAGAGAGGGAGGGTTGGAGGAAAATGGAAGATAATTCATTAGTGTTAGTAGTTCATGAACAAATAGATAGACTGACTGATTGATTAATTTATGCAATGTTCTTTGAAATACACTAACAACTGATATTCATTACGTGGCATTTTGATCAACAAACATGAAATACGAGCAATAACAAGCTCTTTCAACTCATACGGCAGTATAAAATTGATTGCATACGGTTCAGATATTTCCAGTAAAGATTGAAATCAGTAGAAAAGATTATATATGTTCAGTTCTTTTAAGAATCTAACCAGGAACCAGCCAACAGGAACCTTTCTCTGTCACTAAGTCTTCTGCGGCTCTTACACTTATCCGACCTCCCTCCCTGAGCTCTTACACTTATCCGACGCCCTCCCCGCCAGGTCATTCCTCCTATCAACCGCCTCCTGAATGAAGTGAAGTTCGACATGGTGGTTTACTCCTTGGACTGGCACCCTGAGGACCACGTGTCTTTTATTGACAACGTGAAGGATAGACCGATTCACCACACTAGTGAGGTAAATGTGGATACATTTTGGTGTGCGTTCTTGCTTGTTCAGTTTATGTGATCCTTAACATAGCTGATTTTTTTTTACTGGTTGCTTGTCTTTGATATCAGTGTCATTATAAAAGTTTTATATACAAGTTCTATACCCCCACGGTCTTTGTCGGCTTTATGTAATGTATGTAGAATGGACTGAATATGAAACAGATGTAGGAAATAAATAGATGAAAAATAGATATAAAGAAGAGGAACGAAGCAGATGAAAAAATGAAAATATGACAAAATAATTAATAAAAATTCACAGTTCACCAAATGAAAATCATTAATACTAATTAATCAATATTCACGGTTCACCCAATTCGTAATTAACCGGAATCCTTAGTTACACCAACCCGATTGCAACTTCAGATATCGAGCGAAGAGGCGCAGGTGAATGACACTGTAATCTTCGACGTGAACAACGAGGGGGTCCCGATGGCGCAGAGGCTGTGGCCGAGGCACTGTGTCCAGAAGTCGTGGGGCGCTCAGCTGCACGACGAACTCAAGGTGCGTCGGACTGGGGGCGTTGCAAGTGATTGATGGTGTGTGTGTGTGTGTGTGTATGTGTGTGTGTGTGTGTGTGTGTGTGTGTGTGTGTGTGTGTGTGTGTGTGTGTGTGTGTGTGTGTGTGTGTGTGTGTGTGTGTGTGTGTGTGTGTGTGCAGGTAAATACGAGGACGTATTTATAATTTCCTCGTTCCTGGAATCCCGCTAACCCTCCCCCCTCCCCCCAGATCGTCGACGACTCCGTGCTCGTGTACAAGGGCACGGATCCCGATACTGACTCCTACAGTGTCTTCTGGGACAACAACAAGAAGAGCCAGACGTCCCTCAACGAAGAACTGCAAAAGAGGAACATTACCGATGTTTACATTTGCGGCATCGCCTATGACGTCTGCGTTTGTGAGTTTGTTATTGATTAGTTTGTTATTTTCTCCTAATTGCTATTGTTTTGGACATTATTATTACGAACGTCCATCAATTTTCTCATTCATTTCCTCTAATTCATACTTTTTGAACGCCTAACAAACCCGACATCCCCAAAGGCAGGACCACCTTTAACACACACGCCCCTTCCTCCCTGCAGCCGCCACGACCGCGCACGCCATAGAGGAGGGATACCGCGCCCTCCTCATCGACGACGGCTGCCGCGGGGTTTGCGACGCAGACATCCAGGCCACGAAAGACAGAACCACGTCCAACAACGGCCTCGTCATACATTCGTCGCAGGTGAGTGTAAGAGAAGTGGGAAGCGATGTGGCAGCCCTTTCGAGATGCATGTAATCACAGCTGGTAACTTTGTCAGTTCTCGGTGATGGCAGTGACCACGGAAACTTTAACGCAATGTGAAGAAATAGGATTTTAAACCACTCTTCACTCTTTAATTTTTCAGTAGTATAATGCATTTTAGAATAACTATAACCGCATCTGCACAAAGTAATTCATTCTCCAAAAATATGGTCTGATAATCTTGGTGTTAACTTGTTTCTATGCTAGCAGGCAATTTGGATAAATATTAGACTCATCTCGGTTACTCAACAACTCACAGGATCACACAGACATCTTTATTGATTACATAAACATTTGCTAACTTGATATACATGTTAGGAGACACTATATAGGAAAACATTGATAGCTATCTGACTTAGTGTGTATTCAATCTTGTTTAATACAATTTCTTTTCTCAGGTCAAAAGTTTGGTGAGTGGGAGAGACAGGCCTCCCGTCCTGGCTTACAAACTTGCCCTCGAAATCGCCAAGAAAATGAAGAAGAAATAATAGAACAAGATCCTGGAGAACAACAAGAAAATCGGGGAAATAAATAATTGAATTGCATGAAAAATATCAATAAAGGGATGTAATATGCTTTATATGTAACAATACGACAAGATACAGAGTATATTTAATTTATGCCATTCGTAATTGTAATGCAAATGTGGAATTCGATCTATCCATCTTTTTTCTTATTTTCTGTTTAATGTTTTTTATATTTGCATTTATTTTTTGTGGGGGGGTAAACTATTTTCAACCAATGAATTCATCGTCTTATTTGTCTTCCTATCTCCGAGTTTATCTAATTATCTGCCTGCTTCTCTATCTTACGGGAAAAAAAGAATAAATAACTTTAGACTAATATCAAAATATAATTGATTCTACACTCTCGGTCTTTCAGTAAAAATATGTTCATTTATTTCGTTTGTAAAATCTATTATTGTATAAGAGCTACGTGACTATTTACATTTCGGTAGACCATTCTTGTGATCTCTCTCCAGCTACTGAAAATAATGCTTGTTATGAAAATAATAAGGATGATAAGTATAAAGCAAAAGATAAATTTATAAGGAAGTATAGACGAAATATGAATTTTGATTTTTTTTTTTTTTTTCCATAGACCGTATATCTGCAACAACTTCTAATTCAGATATTGAAGATGAACATATCTTTGTTTTAATCACTTTATATATCAAGAGATACTAAAAATAATAAAATCGTTTTACTCATTGACTATTTCCTTCCAAATAGATGTTACTAAACTATGAATTATGATATTACATAAGTAAATTTTTGCTGAAATCACACATTTTTGTACATATTCATCAGAGTTCAAGCCTTCCATACGAACCGGACGATTAGAAAAGTTTTCTACGATATGACAAACAGAAACCTCAAATAATCTAATCCATAAGGAATTATCACGTAGAATGGTTGACGATAGAAGCGGAATAAAGTGGATTAAATAAAAAGGCATAATATGATAGGTTATTAGATCATGCTAAAAAAAAAATCTATTCACTCAGCCTGCTTGTACTGCAGCACGGTAATTCGAATCGCCAAAGGGAAATTCTAAAAAGGGCATTTGCTTTTTTCGCAAAAGACAAGGTAGATGTTGAGCAAGGCGGGTTCGTGACGTCATTAAAATGGCGGGAAAATCTTTCAAAACGCAGACGTTGTCCCGCGTAGTATTAAGCAGTACCGATAATTAAAAAAAAAGCCTTGTAGTTAAGTACAACACACATGTAGGGATATAGTTGTTAGATATTTTATTTTGTCACAATATTTCTTTTAATCAAATTAGCGACATTACATTGTAAGTCCTTAAAAAAACGTTCTCTGTAACCCGTCAAAACCACAAATTTCGAGTCTGGATTCTTGTCTTTATATCAAATAATTGCAAACTAAATACAATGCAGTTGGTTATGTTGGCCTCTGCATTGTATTACCCCAAAATTATTGTTGTAATATTGTTAGCGACTCCCTATTGCTAGATTATGAAATGTATATCATGTTTTTTTTTTATTATTTCCGTTTAATGAAGTATCTGGTATTTCGACGATAGAACCTTTATTATAATCTTGCACGGCCGTCCAGTACAAGATAATGATATATGTTTATATATATATATATATATATATATATATATATATATATATATATATATATATATATATATACATATGTAAATATATATATATATATATATATATATATATATATATATATATATATATATATATATATATATATATATATACATATATATATATATAAATATATATATATATATATATATATATATATATATATATATATATATATATATATATATATCTATATATATATATATATATATATATATATATATATATATATATATATATATATATATGTATATATATGTATATATATATATGCATATATATATGTATATACATATGTATATGTGTATAAATATATATATACATACTCATATGCAAGCATATATATATATTTATATATATATATATATATATATATATATATATATATATATATATATATATATATATATATATATACATACATATATACATATATATATATATATATATATATATATATATATATATATATATATATATATATATATATATATATATATATACATATATATATACATATATATATATATATATATATATATATATATATATATATATATATATATATATATATATATATATATATATATATATATACATATATGTATACTTATATACATACATATATATGTATACTTATATACATACATATATATGTATATGTATATATATGTATATATATATATATATATATATATATATATATATATATATATATATATACATATACATATATATGTATATATGTATGTATATATGTATATAAGTATATATATATATATATATATATATATATATATATATATATATATATATATTTATACATATATGTATGTATGTATGTATGTACGTATATGTATATGTATATGTATGTGTGTATATATACACATATATATGTAAAATCATATATATATATATATATATATATATATATATATATATATATATATATATATATATATATATATATATATATATATATACATATAGATATACATATATATATATATATATATATATATATATATATATATATATATATATATAAGCAAAATTATGTACAAAATGACAATATTGATGTTGTTTAGAGTATACCGGAGGGGATAAAACGTCCCCTCCCTCCCTCCCCCTCCCTCCCCCACAACATTTGTACCATAAACTCTGTGGCCTTTTCTAAAAAATATATATATAAATGTATAAATACCTATTTGATTACCGAAGGCTGTGCATGTAGCCTTTTCGTTTCCAAACTGTGTGACTTTTACTACTTCTTTGGGGTAACTTTTGAGGACGTAGTTTTTTAAGGGTCCCTGGGAGAATCCAAGACAGAGAAGAAAATCGATGTTTGTTAAGTTGTTGTTTTTTTTGTTTTTGTTTTTGTTTTTAATCTATTTCGGGGGTTTTAGTTCCTTAAAGGTGCGTAAGGTTAATTTTATAAGCTGATGGTAATGGTGTGCCT